AGTAATGCTTAGGTAATTTAACGGATTCTTTATTATAAAACAAATAGGAAGAAGTGGGAAGAAACACTTGACTATGTCTCGTGTTTCTCCCTACACTTCTTTTGTGCTCTAGCCGCTTCTTGCGTGCTTTATAACAGAACAGAGCACAGTCAAGGCTTCTCTATTAAATAAAAATCATTCAAGCATTGTCCATAGTGTGATATCTATGCATTCGGCCATCCCACTTAGTTGATAAATACATAGTATACTTATACTATTGTTTTTTCTATCATCTTTACTTACCATCTACCTTGTGAAAATTTGTTTCTTCACATCATGATGGATGTTTGTTTTTAAAGTCACGTTAATGTTTTTTTAATTTTTGTCAATGTATACCCAATATATTAATTTTATAAATATATATTGAAGCAAAGTACTTCTATATTATTAATTTGATATTTATCTTTGTAATTCAGCTCCTGAAATATTTAACACAGCTAGTGAGGAGACTCAAGGATATTCCTTTGGTGTTGACTGGTGGAGTTTAGGAGTTTGTATCTATGAAATATTAAGAGCAAAGGTAAGGGCCTTAGAATCTGATATTACTACTAGACTAAGTGCAACCCTTACCCTGATACTTAACAATGATTTTAAGTTAGGAAAGGATCATTTTGTTATAACTCACCCCAAATCCCCAAAAAGTTGTTCTGTAATCTAATCTAGATGGTAAACTAGAATTTATATTATAATTAAGCCCGGGCCCTGGTTATTCAAAGGTTGGCTAAGTTGCTATTTACTAGATAGATCCTTGTCTGGTGAATTGTGCACTACATTTTTTTGTATTACTTATTAACTGGATATTTAATTATCCAAGGGAATCATGGCATTATCTGTCATCTGTACAATTGGGCCAAGTTGTATTCCTAAAACTTTTAAGTCTTCTTACAAAATTCTATTGTGACTAATTCATGTTGAAAATTTTGGTAGTTTAACTGCCACAATGACAATGACTATGAAAAACATATAGCACCAACCATTAACACTTCCTTTAAAAGAAGATAAGATGATTTCCTTTTATTTATTAACTCTTCATTTACAGCGACCATATGAAATTCATGCCAACACAAGTCTGTCGGAAGTAAGACAAATTTTTGCTTCTGAATCTGTTCACTACCCTACAACTTGGTCAAGAGAAATGATACATGTACTTCACAGAGTAAGCATTATTTATTTTTCACAGTAATAGAATATTAAAGTAATCAAACTTTCTTCCTACCAATAACAGTTAAAATGAGGATGAAGCACATATGCTTGTCACTTAATGAGATTCCATTTGGACATTTTCTTCACAACAATGCTTATACTGATATCTGTTTTTTTTTAATTAGCTTCTTCAACATGATCCCAAGAAAAGATTAGACAGCTTAGAGGCCTTGAAACAGGAAAGCCTTATGGCAGATGTTGATTGGGAAGCTGTCGAGGCTGTTAATGTCCAACCTAGCTTTGTGCCTCCTGTAAGTTCACTATGGCCTTTTCACACAACATTTGTCAAACAGTGTCAGTAGTAATTAAAAACCTTTTCTTGTAATTTGCATTTCATTTTGTCTTACTAGAAAGACCACTTGAACTGCGATCCTACTTATGAGCTAGAGGAAATGATCATTGAAGCTAAACCACTTCACAAGAAGAAGAAGAGATTGAAAAAGTTGTCAGGCAAGATGGTGAGCAATTATGGTGGCTTTGATTGTTGTAATAATCAATTATATGTTGTGGAAAGGTATATGCTCAATTACATAAACATTGACCCTTAAGAAACATTTACAATGAGCGATGAGACTCTTTGGCTCTCTGGGTACACATCTACATGATAACTGCTACTAGGACATGGTGAATGATGGAAGTTATCCACACTTTCTTGGAAGAAAAGGATTATCATAACAAAGCTATATCATGAATAGTGAGAAAGGTGAATCACAGAATAAGTATCTACATGAACATTTTCCAGAAAACCTTTGGGTTTCATCATTCATGGATCATGCTTTTAGGTGTCAAGGTTTGTGTAAGTGCGTGTATCTCGGTTGAACTTCATGCCATAAACACCGAGTCGTAAATACTTTACAGCTTGCTGACTGTATGAATGAAGATCACAGATCATCTAATTTGTGATTTTTCTTGCAACTTGAGTCCCCAATTGCAGCTTAACACATGGCCTTCTGAATTCTCTGAAACATTTCCCTGTTTCCTAAGAGGTTTACAGCATGAATTATGGCAAGTAATGTTAAACAGAATTTCAGTGATCTGTTTCCATCTTCTTAGTTTCTATGTATTGACTAGTACAGAAGTTTTGAAACTTGAACTTTCACTCAAAATTTTAGAGGGCACCCGAGAGCAAAACTGCAGTATCCAGTCAACTCGCCGACAGTTCAACTTGCCAACACCAACTCGCTGACTTATAAAATCAAGTAGAAATGTCAGCGAGTTGGTCTTCAATCCAGTACAACTTATTAGAAGTTAAACATATAGAAAAGTGAAAGATCTTTAGGAAAAAAACATTTTTTTTCTTTCAACAAAGTTTATAAGGATCTCATGGCAAATAAAGCAAGGTAGATATTGCCAATGACTGAGAAAGCTTCAGACGCGAGCAAGTTATTGTGTGACAACAACACTCTAAAGTCTTATCATGTCAATTGGTCAGATTTTTTGAAGAAAACTTGGCTTTCTGGACAAAATCTTAAGTAAAAAACAATCCTTTTTATTTCCAACAAAGTTTATAAGGATCTCATTGCGAATAAAGCAAGATAAACATCGCAAATGACTATAAAAGCTTCTGACAGACAGACGTGAACGAGTTATTGTGTGACAACAACACTGTAAAGACTCATCATGTCAATCGGTCAGATTTTTTTAAAGAAAACTTGGCTTTTTAGACGAGATCTTTCGTAAAAAACAATTCTTTTTATTTCCAACAAAGTTTATAAGGATGTCAAGGCGTATAAAGCGAGGTGAACATCACCAATGACCAAAAAAGCTTTAAACGCGAACAAGTCATTGTGTGACTGCCAACGTCATTCTAGATTCACACTTGGATAGCTCACTTTTGAAGGCGCTTATGTTTGGTCCATCTTAATACCAGGCTAAGCCAGTAAACGGCAAACATTTTCTAAATGCTTTTACAGTACAAATACGATTAGTATCTAACCAGAAGCTGACCAGAATCCAAAGAAGGGCTAATAGGCGATTGCAGAGTAAGGTGTTTGGATTTTGGGAGAAATACGAGAATTGTAAAAAAACAACGGCTCAATTATTGAAATCGATGTCGAGATTAAACGGACCTTCAAGAGCAGAAAAATAGTATGATATACATATCAAATTTTATTGTAAATCAAACGTTCTCGATCATAAATAAATCATTCCTTAAAGTTAAAAAAACATGTGGTTCCACATGGTTGCTTCGATCACATCTGAAGCTTTAGTAGTAATTGGCGATGTTCACCTTTCTTTATTCGCTTAGACATCCTTACAAACTTTGTTGAAAAATACAAAGAATTGTTTTTTTACTAAAGATCTTGTCTACAAAGCCAAGTTTTTTTTTTCAAATCTGACCGATTGACTTGATGAGTCTTTACAGTGCTTTATTCACCATGATATACTTATAAACTTTGTTGGAAGAAAAAAATTTTTTTTTCCAAAAGATCTTTTACTTTTCTATGTGTTTAACTTCTAATAAGTTGTACTGGATCGAAGACCAACTCGCTGATGTTTCTACTCGATTTTATACGTCAGCAAGTTGGTGTTGGCGAGTTGAACCGTCCGCGACTTGACCGTAATTCAAAACTGCTTAAGTGCCACATGCAACAATTTAAAACACATGCTCACATTCTTTTCTTGAAAAACAGATTTATTATGATATCACATCTGGTAATATCCTTTTCACTGTTTTAAAAGGAGAGTGAAGAGGAAATGGATCCTATTCAAATGTCTTTAGAAGAAATCAAAAGAGAATTCAAGCTGTATAACAGAGAGAGGTAATTCTGAGATCAATTTTCTTCTCATAATTGGTTGTTTTCTCCTAGCCATGAAAGTGATATGGGGTACCTGTTAATGCAATCTTTTTTATTTTTCTTATATCTATTTTAGTCTAGTAGCAGAGTGAGGTGTAAAATTCTTATCACTTCTGATTACAATGTAGTTTATGTTGTAATCATAACATTTCACTGGTGTACTGGAAATATATTTGTTTTTGTTTCTTTCCCTCAGAAGGATGAAAAATAAAGTTTTTTGATGTTTTGGTTCTCTTGATACTTGTAGGTTACTTATAACTCGAAGACTAACCAAAACAAATGTGACCTCTGCCCAAGAAAACAGTGAAGAAAAAAATGCTGAAATGTCAGTAACAGATGCAAAACTATCATGATATTGGTGTGTACCAGTATTACACTAGTAAAGCTCATTTAATATGTGAATCCACCATGAGTGTAGAACAAGCGGAAAAAAAAGTAGAATTTTTTTACTGTTAATCTGTAATATTTTATGGTCATTATGTTTTGACCTTTTGCCCTCTAAGAATAATTTTACATCAAATGTGTGTAAATCACTTTAAATGCCACCAACTTTTCACGTGGTCTCTTGTCAGATCTCAGCTTGTCATCTGCAAATTATTACAACAACTATCTTGAATCCTCTTTGGAAAATTTTGAAAATTAACTCTCATAATGAGGTTTGAATTTCTGTAATCCGAATTTTTTCAGTGTCGTTATGTAGATATGTTGTAGCAAAAATGTGCTCAAAGAAATGCAGTGAGTAAGAGTAGTTTACTTTGTCAATAGATAGAGGTGGTCTTAAAGCAATCCAGCTCATGAACATTACAGTAAAAGAGTAGATGCTGTTGCCAAATTGGTTAATGCTTGACTCTAGATCAAAAGGTCCAGAATTGAGTCTTGCTACGGGTTGAGTATTTTGTGTTCTTTGGGAGGACACTTAGCTTCGACAGTACCTTTCTTTACCCAGAGGTGTTAATGGTTACCAATGGTCTGTCAGAGAATCCAGACAAAATGCTAGTAGTAACCTGCAATGGACCCAGCATTCCATCCAGGGAGGGAAACAACTCTCCTTTTTGTTTTATGCTGCAAAAAACAGTATAAGCTTCGGCAGCTAGTTGAGTCATTCTGTCAGTATTTCATAGTTTGTACTTATTTGTGTTCAGAAGTGATATAATTTGCTTTATTCTTATAATTATTCTAATGTAGTTGTCAGTAATAATTACTTTAGTAAGTGTTTCTGAGTGATTCCAAACTTGATGGAGGTTTTTTTATGTAAAATGTTATTGTAGGTTAGTGAATATAGATTTTATTTGGTGAGTTTCCAGTTCCATTTGGGAGTTTACCCATAGGTCTGTCCAGAAGCATCTCATTGAAAGGTTTGGAAAAATAGTTCTAAGCAGTGCACACAGAGCCCTGCAGTTATTTGCACTAGTTTTTGCACCTTTACTTGCAGTGGTCAGGAAGTGAAGTGAAGAAAAAGATTGATCTGAATTACATGACATGTTGTAACACCCAAACCTGCATTAATAGATTACTACTTAAATTCCAATTTAATCTCAGTAGAATTAAAATGGAAATTTTCCATATGATTTAATTTATTTAAGAAATATTTATAAGTATGTAATGTTCTCTCCACGATTCAGTCATAAACATTCGTTCATCTTTTTTTCCTGATTAACAAAATGGAATATGAACTAATCAATAGCATGGAAAAGTGCGCTATCCCTTTGGTATTGTGTGATTTCCTTTATTTCATGTTGGTACTTGGTTAATATGGTTTAATACTTCTTAATATTTTGACAGGTTTGCTGACTGCTTGTTTCTTTTGCATATCATTATTGTAGGATAAATGGTTCTTTAAGCTTACAACTTGCATCTATTGCTAATTCTTTTTTGAAAAGAAATAGTTTTGGTTATGCAACAAGATCAAGCTTGTTTCATATTTAGGTATCTTGTTGTGTTGCTTTACTTTACCCATGATTGTTTTCTGGTTTACTTTGGAAAATTTATCACACCTAGTTGGTTACAGTGTTTGAGTGTGACTTTGTCTTAGAAACAGATCTGGAATGTGTTGTACCTCAAATCCCCATGTATGTAGTCCTGCCATGTGCCATAGCAGACCCCAGATTTTTCAGTTCAATCTTTTTGTCTAAAGATTTCAACTATAGATATGATATGTTTGGGCAATGAGTTGAAGGGGGCGGGGAGGTAGATTCCACAAAAAAAGTAACAATACCATATTATATTAAAGAAGCATGAACACAGAGGTGCAGTTTCAAAGGCAGATTCTTGATTATTAAACTTTTTTAACACCTACTAAATGTCCAACAGGCATATGTTTCCTAAAAAGAGCATTAGAAAAAATGTGTAGGTTGATGATATAACATTGATGGAGAAAATAATTTTGGGTTTAACCCCAGAACTTAACTGTGAATGGTTAGTTCATTTACCAGTTTCCTTACAGTAAATAAGTCAAATTGTAGGTTATTAACTAAAGAGAGTGATAGGTAATATAAGATTATTGATTCAGAGAATTATGAAAATCTGATTATGTGTGAGGGATGTTAAGTGCCATTGTACAAACAAAGAAAAAAATAAAGGCTATGTTTAATAATAGGTTTGGATGCTTAGTGAATACATTACTGTGCTGTTGATTATTTCCTGTGATTAGGACAATGTGATGAGGAACTGAGCTAATTTTTTTCTTTTTCTCCAAGGGAGTAGGAGCAGAAAAAAGTATGTTCATTATTTCTCATTGGTTGGTTGCTGCCCCACATGTGGGGTAGCAAAGAAAGAATGTTTGATTGCAGGTTGCAATTCACCCTAAATACAAATGATCCATAATTCCTAGTTCTTCTGTTACTTAATTCCTTTTCCTGGAAAAGGTATTGTCTGCCTTATTTTATTTGGGTAGATGTTTCAACTTTATTTTAACGTAGTGTGTGTTTGCCCTCTCTTTATTTCTCCTATGGTTTTCCTTTGTACTCCGCCTGATTTCAAGCTAACACCTCTGAAAGTCTCTGTAGTATAACGTATTATTAGGTAGGTAAATTTTACACCACTTCATTATTATACCATATACAGAACAGAGTAATCAAAAACCTTTCAAATATGGCTATCTTGGATTCACAGCCATATGGTCTTTAAGATAAGTGGGCTGAATTTTTCAAGTTAAAATTGACATCTTTAACTGCAATTGGTTGAAAACTAAACTTGGTTTCATCACTAAGCTTGATTTGGGTCTGTGTCTGCCTAATAGAAATGTCCATCAAGTACATTCCTTTTTTAAGAGTACAGAAGGAAAAATTTGGTTTGGACCATTGTTTACTTTTGTGAGGTCTGCCCTATATAGGTTTCTTTTCTCTGTAAATAGCTTCTATCACCATAGGTTGAGTATACTAGGCTAGGAACTATCTTGTGGCACATCTAGTTTTTGGCAGTTATAGGTAAATTTTGTATGCTTTCTTTTAACCACTTGACATGATTACACTGCTAAAAAGAGACAGAATTATTGTTTAGAGTAAGTGGCACTATTTCCTGACCCCTTGAGGAGAAAACAGTGTCTAGTAAGGGAAGACCGTTGACTTCTATATTCTTTTGGGATGCTTCAAGTACTCATGCCATAAAAAAGCAACCTTTGTAGAACAACCTTCCCAATAGTTTTGAAGTTCTGCTTAAGAAAGAGACCCAGAAACTTGGCATTTAAATCTTTTATTGTGCCAAATGTTAGTTTCCTAAGAAATTATATACAACCATTTTACTGATACAGACCAGACCATGGTTGTCCAAAGGGTGGGTAACGCTATCCACTGAATAAATGTCCATAACATGTACACCAAAATACATTGTGTAACCACTTATCCCCTGGATAACAATTTTTTCCATTGGATAGGGTTATCCATTCTTTGAACAACTGGCCCCAGCAGTCCACAGGAGTACTGACATTTCACATTGTACTTAGTTATTGATAGCCTGGAAGTCTTCTCCTTTTCCTTTTAGCCAAGAGGGAAGAACCTGAGCAGAGGGAGTCATGCAAAGACAAAGGGCTTTAATGGGAGTAAAAGCATAACTGAACCCTCCACACCCCGACATCAGTATACATATTCTCTCTACTGTGCTCTGACAAGGAGAAATTAGATGCCAGTCACTCTCGGGGGTTAAAGGGTTTATGTAAAAGTAAGGGGTCAAGGGGTTACGTAAGAGTAGGGTGAGGTCTTGATTCTTTATTCTTACTTTCAGCTTTGCCTTGGTGTTTCTGGTTTGGCTCTGTGCTATTCCCACTTAGATAAAAGTACATAGAAAAGACTGTTATGCAGGCATACAAGTTCCTACATAACTGCAGTGCATACAAATTCATTACAGAGTGCTAATGTGATTGTGTTTTATAACAAAACAAATTAACACTTTAAATTAAGTCCTGGAATTGAGTCTCTCTCCTGCAAGGCCCGAGAGGTGTAATGGAATAAATTGGCTGAATGAAGGTAGTATACAGGCACAATATTGCCTCACTCTAACTGTACCTTGTTGGCTTCATTCACTTAACATGACAAAAGAATTCACTACCATCCCACAAGTCCTTTAAAAGTAGTATCATTTAATATGTTATAAATAATTATAACAAAAAAGACATCAACCTCTATTGACCTAAAAATAATCCACAAATTTGTGTTAAAAGTCTACAAAAGTGTACAGTGGTGTATTAAAAATAGCATGAAACTAATCATTGAGGCTAAAGTGCAGCGGAGATGTGTTTAAAATCTGTTCATATGATGGCACCAAACACACTGTTACTGTAGCAAAAATTTGCATGAATTTGAAAAGACAGCCACTAGCTTATGGAACAAGCAAAGCCTCGGAAAAGCATTTGTCGTAATTATGTGTCTTCATCTTTGATGAAATGTTAGTTCACAACTATTCCAAAAGTTCATTTTGTGTAAGATGCATGTTGTGTGACTGTGTCCCTTGTCAGACAAATGAAATCACTGAATGTGTTCTGCTGAGCATACTGCTGCGACAGTTATTCTCTTCCTGTGCCAAGCCATTCTATGGAAGAACAAAGAAATCTCATCAGATATCTTCAAAAGGTAGACGCAAAGCCTTTAGGACAAACATCAGAAAAGTATACCATGCACTCATGCAAAATACATAAATCCTTTAGGTCAACATCAGATTGCAAATGGGTTAAAAGCAGTCAGGATAGGATTATATATAATAACAGCTACTTGTAAAGCAACAGTCTAAACCATTTGGCACAAGCAAAACCAAGAGAAAGTTTGTCAAGACATTAGCCAACAAGAACATGCAATAAGGGATGTAATGAAATCAACCATAGGTTACTGGTTGTGTAACCCCTTGCACATCAAAGTCATAAAAAAATTAAAGAGTGCATATAAGTAAGTGCTGCAGCCTAGAAAAATCATGTGACTGATGATAAAAGACAGCAAAGAAACTGCGGATCTGAGCTTATTTCATCTCAGTGTAAACATTTTAAAGCAGAGGTTGATGACTTAAGTTCCTTCTGCATGTCAATGATGATTTGAAAAAAACAAAAAAAAAAAGACCCCTCCCCTTAATACCCAAATGCTGTGAATTGTTTTATAAGTAAAAGCTATATGCTATAATTAAATATAATGTGTTATTCAGTTAATTGAAAGGAGTGCAATTTGGTCTGAAATCATGCAATAACACATTATTTCAAAATTGAATAAAAAAAAGAAAGGCATTCATAATGACTGCAAATTGGCATCCATAGTTCATAGTATTACAAACAGTAAAATTCTCAGGGGCACCCATTACAAATTTATTCTTCTGACAAATTACATTATTCTTACCATTCTATGGAAAAAAAAAAACCACAACAACAATTGTCTGTGATTTTTGTGTCCCACAAATAAGTCAATTTAGTTCTCAGATTACCAAAAGAAAAAAGAAACCTTTTCTTTTAGTATTAAAAATGCAGAGGTACATGTAGAATATTTAATTTTTTTAACCAAAAATGATCTTGGGATTTAATTTATACAGCAGTCCTAATAATACTATTATACAATCACCTTACCACTTTCTATCTGCTATAGCTGCTGAATGCTACATTCCAAACCATATTAATCTTATTTGTATGTGTTGTTTGTATCTATGAAGGTAATTAATCTACTTTTGTTCCAACTTACAGTTAATTATTATTTTCCACATGACACAAAAGTGTCAAAATTCATTTAATAATCCTTAATCTCTACATTTATATTAACTATGAATTGAATATCATGTGGATTACTGAATGTGATGAAAATTTATGTCTTTCCACAATAATGCAACTCTCACTCTTGTGTTTTAAATTTGTGAAAAGGAATATTTAGCAAGAGATTTAATTCCACTTACAGCAAACTCATTGTATGAGGTACAAACAACCATTGACTCATTCTTATTGCTGTTTGAGCTGAATCCATTAAGCACTTGTATTGATGTGTTGCCAGTGCTGTTTAATGCCTTGCTAGAATTACCAGTTTTGTCGGCAAGGACCTTTCTCTTTACAGCAAGCCTGGCTGACTGTCTCCTGCTGGAAGGTGTCTGTCCACACATACACAGAAAAAAAGACACAATAATTCACTGACAAGGTGTTTTTATAGGGAAAAGTGTATTACAGGTAGCCTCAGTGTATGTATATCAGTCAAGATTAAATCAATTCTTCAGTTGATAATTTCTCAGTAGTAAGCTGACGGTTGATAGTAAAGTTATATCCTTTGTCTTACACATTCCCCCATTTGTTTATCTCCCAATTTATTTCTAGTTGCAAGGTATAATCAAAAATGATTTCCTGCAGCAAAGATTTGCTAAAAATTGTCAACACTCTATACCCAAATGTCAATATGCATATCCTCCTTAATGTTTTTCAAACATTTCCTAAGGTGCTGACAAGGAGAATTTTTATGATGGTCAAGAGCTTCTTCAGTTGGTGATCATTTATCTTATACTTGTGACCTTAACGTGTGATTCAGGGGTGATATTGTAAGGAGAATGTACTAGAAAAAACAGGTTTGGTAAATTCTTGAAGATCAGAGATGGTAAATACCTACAGCTGTTCAGTAGTACCTTTTTGGATACAGTTGTGACACTGAGAACTAAACCCATATTAACTAAAATGATAAATAATGAGATCATCTTTAAGTTACCACTTTTTTCTTTATGGTCTTGGCAACTTTTCTTATGTTGGGTTTTGTAGCAAGTGGAGGACGGCCATTTGTATTTCCTGCAGCAGACCTTGGGGATGGGCAAATGCTAGAGTGGAGATGCAATCTTGATGGTGTTGATGTGTAATCTTGCATCTATGAGAAACAAAAAGGCATTAAAGCATGATGTTGGTCATTGACTGAGATCAACAGTTTAACTTGCTTGTACCTGACCTGCTGACTAGTCATGTAACAATTTGATATTTTTGCTAATCATCCATGAGACCATAACACTGACTCATTTTAAGTAGGCTTACACTGTAAATGTGAAATATGATAACATGTAATACATATTCAACCCTATCTAACTCTTAACTAACTAAAAGTTTATATCAGTCTAACTGACAGAGCTTCAACCTTAAAACTGTTACCAAAATCAGTTTTTATCTTAAC